AGGTGACCCTTCCTTGGCAAGGGCTTGGACTGGATGATCTCCAGAGATCCCTTCCAACCCCAGCTATTCTGTGGTTCCATCTACTCACTTGGCTCTGAAGCTACTGCATGGCTGAAATGCCACTGTGACCTTTTTTTTAATTGTTGTATCTCCCATTTTTATATCCCTGCCTCATGCTTCAATAACTTGAACAAAATGCCCATTTTTTCCCATGATTATTTCTTGGTCACATTTCAGCCCTGAGCCCAGCAAGGTGGGCTGCTTGTCCTGTGCCAGGGCTCACATTTTTGGGAGAACAGAGCTGGCATGGGGAGAAGCTCTGCATTACATCTCTGAAAGGGAGCAGAGGAGACCAGGACCTGCCAGCACACCTGAGGGACAGTGACAGGCGTGTGGGAGGAATTGAGATTGCAAGAGAAACTTCTCAGCTGTGCCATTTGAATGGTTGTTGGGGGTTTTGCAGCAGCCTTGGCTCTGGCCAGAGCACCTGTCTGCTCCCTTCAGTGAGGGAATCACCTGGATTCCTCCTGGTGCAAGGTAAAAACATCATTAACTTCATTCCTACTTCTGTGAGCTGGGCCATGCACGTACACCCAGAAACTTTGCATTCATCTTCAGCAGCCACAGCAGTTCTTTGATTTAAAGTTGGAACTTAATTGTCATAAACATCAGGTCCAGAGAGTTCCAGCTGAGGAGGAAAAGGGAAGAAAGATCTGTCTCTCTGAATTTTTTTTTGCTGAGATGACAGATGTTCTTTTAATATTTTTATCTGGATTCCCCTTTGCTACTTTGCCTCTGATGCTGGAGCAGAGGCTTTAAATCTAAGGTGCTTTAATCATCAGTTTAGCTGCTAAATACAGGAATAAATTTGGAGCTTCTATCTGTGCCTTGTGGCTATATTCTGCCTTGATTTATAAACTTCTCATCCCATGGGGTCATAAGGCAGTCTACAGGAGATAGAGTTTGGCTCCAGAGTTATGGATGGGCATCAGTCAGCTGGGGCTGATCCCAGCGTGTTCCCTGCTCTGGAGAAAAGTGGTGACAGTGACAGGAAAATGTGTAAGTCCTTTCTCAGTTCCCTAAGTCAGAGTGAGTGCTCAAGCTAGACTTACTGAATGAAAAAGGATGTATTGTAAGTATCTAATAAATGCCTAATTATGAGGAACTACATGTACTGAGAATGTGGGTTCTTTTTTTCCCAAGACACTGCCAGTTGCCCAGCACAGATTATCACTGCTGGCAGACTTTGGTCATGCATGTGTCCTGTGTCAGGCGAAGAAAGAAATGTCAGACAGAAGCAAGTGAAGCCAAAAAACCGAAAAGAAGTGTGTTGCAGTACATAACGAGGGGGGTGAGAAGTGGTTTGGCCCTCAGTTCTGGATGTCAAGCCCTGCTGGATTTGTCCCAGGTAGGCAGGGAAGTGATGGAAATACCACCTGGATGTTTCTGTTTGTGAACACACAATCTACAGATAAGCACTCTGGTCTTCTTCCCTCTGTCTTGCTGCACAGTCCCGCATGCACAACAAATCCACGTAGAGCAGGAATCAAGGTGAAAAGAAGCCGAGGAACCTGATTTATCTGGTGCTGAGTAGCTTTGCAGCTGAGTGAGACACAGATGCTGCTGTGAAGGCAGGTGGGGGAGCAGGGTCATTCCCAGGGCAGCTCCACCCACGGCTGGAGAGGAGGGAGCTGTGCCAGGCTGCCCAGTCACGCTGGCCAGGGCTGCCGTGGCAGGTGGATGGAGCAGCTGGAAGTGGGAGAGGTGGCAAGAGCAAAGTGAAAATGAAAAGAAGGGAGCAGCAGCTCGAGGAGAGGGTGTTAACAGCAGCCTGCTGCAGCTGACTCCAGAAGGCAGCTCCAGTCATTGCTGAGCTCCCCTTAGTGTCCCTTGGTTCTCCTCAGCCAGCATCCCTGTGGCTCAGCTCTAATCCAGCACTGATTTCTGGACCAGCCTTGACTTCTTTCCTAGCAGAAGCAAACTATTGACCTCAGATGTCATCGTGGCAACTGGTGCAGTGTTTTGGCACCTGAATCCTGTTCACTGCAAGCACAGACAAGGGTCACTGGTCACATCTTGGGGCTGCAGGTGTGTGACCTCGTGTATGTGAGTGCACACACAGACTCCTGAAACGGTGTGGATTCTGTTCTACAGGCCAATAATTCATTATGAGGGATGTTAGAATCTCTTTTCCTTCCACACTATTTTTTTTCTGCAGATAAATTCTTTATTAACGACTACTCTTGAATAAAGCTTCGTATTCCCTTTGCATATGAAGTTCCTTCTCCAGTGTGTAATTACTGAAGGTGTTAAATTGAATGAAAATGAAGAATTATCCAATTGTTTTACAAAAAGAAAGCACATTGGTGTGCTGGCAGCCCTTTGTAGTGTAGATCATGAAAACTCCTACATAGGTGCAAGTGAGGAGGGGACACGTAAGGTAGGAAGAAAGTATTATCCTCACATTTTGCATGCTAGATCAGGTGGGTAGTTTATGTCAAATATATCTGGTCAATCCTGACAGGATTTCAATTAAAAATTGACTCTTACTTGAAACCAGTCATGGCCCCCTGAAATGTCTGTAAATTTTATGGAGCTGAACAGAACTTAGTGCTTACAAAACAGACTGGAATTGGTCTCTTTGCTCTTGTGATCATCAGCATTTTCAGGCATATTATGCTTTGAGGACTTCATTTTTCCATTTAACCACAGATCCCAGGGCTCAGGAATTCCTGGATCTCTGAATTCCAGAGCTGTCAGTGTGTGAGTGAAGGTGACACTCGTGTGTGTTCCCTCTGAGGAGGCTGTGCATCTTCCATGCAAGTATCAGTTTCAGGAGGAACAGGGGCAGCTGTCAGCCACGATTTTGTGGTGTCTTAAGAAATCTGTAGCGTCACTGTGCCCACACAGATTAGTAAATTTGACAAGTTGAGACAAGTACTTGGAGCTGGCCTTTGTTTTTAATTTTAAAAATGGCTTGTTTGGCACTATTAGCGAGCACAGATCTTGGCAGATCTCAGGGAGTCATTTGGTGGTGTTTTCCCAAGACATGCCCACTCTAGAGCACAGTTAATCCTGGAGCTGGGGAGGATCTGAGCTGCTGGAGAGCAGATGCAGGGGACCTGCTGCCTCTTGAGGGGTGACACATGGTTTGAGAGACTCTGGGACCTGTGAGCACTCTCTGCACTGTTTTGTGACACTGTACCCTGCAGGTGGATACAGGCTTTGGGATGACAGCCTGTGGAGCACCTTCTTCCACTGCAATGGCCCTTGTTGTCCATCAGCTCCTCCTGGAGCGGGTGCAGATGTCCACACTGACCACGGGGCAAGCAGAGCCCTGCCAGACTTTCACATTACCTGGGCAGTATCTGAGGGGCACTGCCCCTCACTGTGCCTGGACGTGGATTTTTGACTTCATGTGAAGCCTGGACAGAGCATCAGCTGCAGGTTTAAAAGGCACAGCTCTTTATTCAGGACTCCTGTAGTGTCTCCTCCTGGCCAGCTGCAGGAGTTACACAGCTGCCAGCTCCAGTATGCAGAGACTGTGAGGACACAAATGAAAGCTAACCTGACTTGTGCCAGCCTGAACAGCCCTGACAGTCACTTCTTGAGCAGAGTGGCCAGACACTGAGTTATTTCCTAGTGGTGCTGGAGGAAGTTGTATCTTAAGCAGAAAAATGAGACAAGGGTGACACCCTGTACTGGTACCAGCTCAGTTCTAGTTGCAAACAGAGCAGAGGGAGAGGCCTTGGGCATGTGAGCATGTTCCAGGATGGATTTCAGATTCAAAAGCTGACTGTGTATGGCCTCAGCCTGGGAGGGCTCCTCTCAGGGGGGCACAGGTGCACTTCATGGGCAGCAGAATGTGGCAGCAGTGAAAGGCCCATGTTACACACACACATCACCACTCTTGTCCAGAGATCCTTCTCCTCTTCCTCCTTCACTTCATGGCCAGTTGCAAGGCAGTCAAGCCTTCAAATTGTGATGAGTTCTTCCAGGTCATGACTCAGTAGCTAAAGAAGTTCTGTTCCTTAAATATCCACTGAAGTAAAGGCTGGGATTTGCTTTCTGCGTCTGTTTTAACTGCTTCTGTCTGTGCTGGACACTAATGATTTCATTTTTTGGGTAATAGTCACATAAATAATACATTCCCTGCTGAGCCTTTTTGCCAGTCCCTGAGCTGCTTCCCATCTGAAGGGAAGTGTAAGAGGTAATTAACAGCCACTTGAAAAAAGATTAGCAGGTGGGTGGGAGCTACTGTTGGGTTCATGCATGGAATTGCCATGGAAATGCTGAGATTTCCTGGCACTTCATCCAGTGTGTGGGCTCCAAAGATAGTTGCACTCATGGGCCTCTCTCCTTTGGATCTTCCTACCCTGCGAGGGGAGCAGCCGTGTTTCCTTACAGGACAGCTCCCACGGGCCGAGCTGTGGCCATCTGTGACACCGGGCCGTGCCGGGAGCGGGGTGCTGTGCTGCAGCTGTCAGCTGAAGTCTTGCTGCATTTCTTTCATGTCAAACCACCTGGCAGAAAATCAGGAGGGAAAAAAAACCAACCAAACCTTGTTGGTTTGCCCCTTTGCCAGTGTTCTGAAAGAGCTTAATATGCCAAGCATTCAGAGTTTGGCACTTGGAGAAGGTGATGCTGGTCCTTTTCCTGCAGGCTGTGACCAGCTCCATCACAGCCCTCGTGTGCTGAACAGGGCTGCAGCTGAAGCAGGGCTGTCATGCATGGCAGCATTTTCAGGCTGTGCAATTTGCTTCTACGATTGTTGGGTGGCCACACATGCTTAAAATATTGGGCCTCTCTGTGAGAAATATCTCTTATTTCAATGCCTGCTCTGGAGGTTTTAAAAGGTGGTGATGGGCACACGTTCATCTGAAACAGTTTCTGCAGAGACCTCTGTATCTGTGTCCCCTGCACAGCAGTAGCATAGAGCCTCCTGAATCTGCCAGTGTCTGTGGGGCTTTGCTTTAAGGAAAACGTGCCTTTTGTTTCAGATCACCTGCTAGCAGACTCCTACATCGGGCAGGAGGACTCCCCTGAGATGCAGCAGGTGGCCCAGAACAAGCGCAGGCTCTCGGTCATCTCGGACGGCAAATTCGAGAGGAGCTTCACCGAGGAGCAGGCGGAGAAGATGCCGAGCGAGGGCCCCAAGCCACGGGTGTACACCATCTCTGGAGAGAGGCCCATGCTGTCCGAGCACGAGAATGACAGCATGGAGCTGGTGGTGATGAAGGGAGCTGCCCACGAGGAGTGTCACCACGGCCACCACGCGCACGGCGCCGGCGCCTCGCACGGCGTCCGGCACTGCAAGGCCTGGCCAGGCGGCCGCCAGGGCTCCAAGGAGTGCCCCAACTGCAGCAGGCTGGCTGCCCCTTCCCAGCAATCCATTGAGCTGGAGCAGCACCCACCTGGCGAGGCTGGGTGGCACAGGAAAAGGCTGGAGAGGATGTACAGTGTGGATCGAGTGTCTGGTAAGTGAGTGCTGGTGACACTCATCTCATCCCAGCACAGGGGTTCTGATCCCGGGCCTGCCTGGTACTGCGGTGTGGTCACTGTGCTGCAAAGAGAGAGAAAGGACAGCAACACACACGGAGCTCTTTTGGGGAAAAAAGGCCAATTTATTGTACAGACAGCCCGGATTTAAAGTGTGTTAGTGCAGCCAGGACAGGACAGGAGCTCATTGGACAATTGGGACAAACATCCCTGGGACAGCACCTCAGGATGTGTCCCACGGGAAAAACACCAGGGGTTAATCTTTATTGTGAATTCCCTTCTGTTTTTCACCAAGTTATCACCCTGGGAGACTCCTCCCTAACTGAAGCTGCAGTCAGCTTGTCAGCCTGGGAATGGAGCTGAGAGTCAGGAGAAATCCAGGCCTGAAAAGAATTGCCAAGCTGTAATTCCCCAGCTCTCTAAATGTGTGTGTCCACACTGCGGGGCAAAGGATTTTCCTGGAAAGGGGTTGTCAAAGGAGGAGTTTGCAATAAGCTGAGCTCAGTTGGAGGCCAGCTTGTCCTAGCTCCTGGTCACCAGTGGCTGCTCCAGGTGGTTTTTGTGACTCCATGCAGCTCATTTTCTGTGGAGGAAGAGCAAAAGAGGAAGGACTCTGTCAAAGCATCCATGCTCATCCCAGAGGCCATTCAGAACAAGATCCTCTCTCTGCCTCTTGCTGGCCAGGGGAAATTTGTGAACTGCTCTGTGGGAGCCTCAGGTTATGGTATTCTGTACTTCTGTGTGTTCCCAAAATTCTTGTTTGCAGGGCTGGAAGCCACTCATGTAGTGCCACCTCATGGGCTTCCCACAAATAGTAGCAAATAACAGTGTTGGACTTTCTTCCCTCCTTTCTTCCCTCCTTTCTTCCCTGCTCAGTGTTCTCAGGGAATAGGGCTTGTAATTATTCCATTGCATTAAAGAAAAAAAAAAAGAAAGAAAAAAAGAAAGAAAAAAAGATTGTCTTTAAAAACTGAACCATTAATCAAATATATGTCATGGTCTGTGTGCTTTGAATTATAAACTGATGTGCAGTGCTTTGCCTGTGTGTGGCTGGCAGAGTCTGGCCTAATTTGTCTGATATTTTCTGTAAACATACATCAAGGCATTTAGAGCAGAGAGTCTGGCCAGGAAAGGTCACAGTTTTCTCCTTGAAAAGAAGCTGTGTATAAGGACTGTGGAGATCAAACTGTCCAGCTTTCCTGGTTCATGGTTTTCTGGTAAATGCTACAGTGATGTTTACTACAGGTAAAATCATGGAAAGTTTGGGTCCTGGACCATATTTTCATACCTAGATACCTGAAGTTATGTGGCTACATGAATATATGGCCTAAACTGAAGAATAGTAATGAAAAAATAGCTGATTATGAAATGTGTGGGAAAACTGCAACCCCCTGGAATCCTGTGTGTGATTTTTGAGCATTGTTCCTCTGTTCCCTGGGACTTTCTGGGCTTCACATCAGACACTGCAGGGGCCCCATACCAGCTCCTGTGAAGAAAATGAACTTGATCCCAGCCCAAACCAGCACACCTGGATAAATCAGAATTGCACTTTGCACTGTGGGATTGAAGGAAGTTACTTGATACAGAAGCAGGGGAAAGCTCCACATCATTAATGGAGGAGTTTAACCCCTCATAGCTGGAGCTGTGTTTGCTGAGAAACATGTGCTGGCAATTCCTGCAGGGAGATGCTGCTACTGGGCCTTGGAATTCAGTATCTGTTTCCAACCAGGCAGCCATTTCTACTGGGGCCAGTGATCAATGTGGAGTGGAGATTCATCTTCCTGAAAATGTGTCAGAGTAGTTACTTAAATGGGAACAAAGTGGCCAGTGCAGGACCTGTGGATACCCCCGTGGGCATTCCATGTTTCTGCAGCTCCCCTGGGTGCTCATCTCAAGCCTCTGGGTCCTGACATGTGAGGCTGCACAGGCAGGGCTGTGTCCCCAAGCCCAAATCCCAGCACTGGCACCATGGAAGGAGAATTCCTTCAGCTTCTTTGTACTCTCTGTCCAAGTTCTGCCACTCAGAGATAACCCCAGAATTGAACAGCACAAGTGCCACAGGTTGCAGGAATTCCCTGACATGTCCTTCCTGCCTGGCTGGCAGGGAGAAGGGAGCAGAGAGGAGTGCAGGCAGGAGAGGCTGATTTCCCCAGGGGTTCACCTGGCAGTGCTGCTTCTCTTTGCATTTACATCACAAGTTGCTGCTGCAAACCAACACTTATGGCAGCCAGGCCCCATTGGCATCACTGAATCTGGATTTTGGTGCTGAGTTTCTGATGCCTGACACCATTCCAAGGAAGCACAAGCTGTCCTCTCCTGGGCTGCTCCCAGCATCTGGTACAGACACATCCACTCATGGACAGAGGTGCTGGGATTTGGGTGCAGTGGGGAGTGGCTGGAGATGCTGGATGTGGTGGTGGTGTGCACCTCCAGCCTTATCAGGCCCTTGGCTCCTCCACTGTTTCCTCACAGTTGATGGTGACAAGAAAAGAGAACAAGCTGCTCTGCCTGGCCAGAAAGGATGTGCTGCCTGTTCCTGGCAGCAACAGCCTTACCCACAATCTGAATTTTAATTTGGTGAGGGAGCTCTGGAGCTGAGCTGCACTGCCCAGTCTCCACCTGTGAGCTCCTCTGCTGATGGTCTACCCTCTGAAGGGTCCCAAATCCTTTATTCTGCATTGAGTGCTGTGTGGAGGACAGGGATATTTTTCCTAATTAACTCCAGTCTATGAGAAGAGGAAAGAAAGCTCCCAGCGATGGTGCAGGCAAAGCCTCCTAAGGATATTGGCTGTTGTTCATAAGTTCTGCTTTGAACCAAAGCCTGTGGCTTAAAAGCTGTAAAACACATTAAGAGATTGTCAGTCCTTTGAGATGAGTAGTCTCTGAGAAGCCTGTACAGAATTGTTGGCTAAAAAGGAATTTGTACAACTTCTCCTTTGCCACTTCTGTGGGTTGGAGGCTTCAAACGAGTAACTCATTTACAGCCTGAGTTATTCTGCTTTGCTTCTGTCTCTGTGCTTTGGAGAAGAGCAGACTATGGGACTGCATCAGAAGTCTTTAGCATACTGGAATGCAGTTTCATTTAACACACATATTTCCTTGGAGTTCCTTTAAACAAGACTTGATGTAAACTGTGAGCTGAGAAGGAGTGTGGTACAGCTTTCTTTAGATTTCTTGGAAGCTGCACTTCAAAGGAAGGCTCCCCAGGTGCAGTTAGCATTTTTTGCATCTGTAATTGCAGCCATTTCCTGTACTTTCAGGGAATAATCTGTAGGATATGATGATCTGTACAAAACATTTGGTAAGATGGCTTGTCTGTAGTAATTATGGCTGCAGTGGGCATGTGGAGTTTGACTGGGCTTGGGCCAGCAAAAGTGAATTAAAAAATGCCTTGACAATGCCAGAATACGAAACATTATCAGATCTGAAGACTTGAATGACTGAGGCAAGACACAGTCAGCAACATGGAGCAAGGCATTAGGTGAGGGAGCCACAAATTGGGTGTGAAGCAAGATGAAAAATCAGGGAGCCCCCAGCCCCAGGGATCCAGTCCACTGAGATGTCATCAATGTTGTGTCAATATATTTCAATACCCCTCTGATTCCCTGCCTGCCTGACTCCAGCCTGAGAGTTGTCACCAGGAGCTGCTGCTTGGGCAGGGTCCTCCTCCTGGTCACCACACACTTAATGGGTGACTTACTTTGCTTTTTGTCTTGGTGGTCATTCAGTGGAGGTGATGCAGTGTTCTAATGCCCTGGAATTAGGAAAAAAACACAGTTGGTTTGGGCAGGGCAGTTTCCAAAGAGTGGTGCCTAAATCAGCTCGGTTACCTGCAGGTTGTGGAGCTGATGGGTGATTTGACTTCCAAACCAGGGGAACTCCTGAAGGCCAAGTCACCAGGAGCAGGTGTGAGAGGGGCTTACTGAAACTTCAGCAAAAAGGGATATTTCAGGCTTACTGTTCTGAGTGGAAAGTAAATGCTCTTCATCTTCTCCTGGGCTGTATCAGAAAGAAATAAAGGAATGGGACCATTTAAATCAGTAAAGGAAAAGGGAGAGACAGGAAAATGCTTTAATGAAAAATGTTTCTTTTCCCTGTTTTTTTTCCCCTGGTTCAAATGTCAGTTCTGTAATTCCTGGATTATTCTAATCTCCAATGCTTAAGATAGAGCTTTTATTCTCCACTAATAGCCTGATAGACGAGCTTAGCACGAATTTACAGAACACTCAGTGGCAGTGTGCATTTATATGAGGAGGATGAGATTTGAACTCCAGTCAGGGCAGGATGCTGAAGGAAAGTCCTGAGAGAAAGAGCTTGGGAAGGAAATGTGGCTGTCTGAAGGATGTCTGTGCCTGCTGGGTGCTCAGGTTTTGCTCTCTCTGTGTCTCTTGCAGATGATGTCCCCATACGAACCTGGTTCCCAAAAGAGAACCTCTTCAGTTTTCACACTGCTACCACAACTATGCAAGCGTAAGTGAAACCACTGCTGTGGCTTTAGTTCTGTATCTCAGAGTCCAGACGTGCTCAAAGCTGAGAGCCTGGAGCAGGAATTGTGTGTTTGGCATCACTGTTGAGGGATGAGAAAGAAAGAAACTTGTCTCTTGTTAATTTTCTTTCCCACTTACTGCTCTCATTTGTTTGGTTTTATCTTCTTTAAATCCTTGGGTTACCCTGCTCTTCTCTGCTTCCCTGATTTTTTGTTGTCTGTGACACTGTGGCCTGGCTGCCTCTGCAGAGCAAGGTCCTGTGGATCACCATATGAGACCTCCACCAGCTGCTTTTGCTGCACACACTTCCCAAGGGAAGGTTATTTCAGGCTTGCCCTGCATCCCTCACTCCAGAGTGGATTCCTCTGGGATAAGATGTAGCCCTGCAGCTCTGCCCTGGTCTGCACGTGTGAAAAAGTGTCAGTAAAATCCCTGCAAAGTATGAAGGGCTGTGAGTTAGGAAGAGCCTTTCCCTCCACACTCCATGCAGGTTTGGTGCCCCTGGGTGCTGTATTTTGGGATGAGGCAGCTCTCAAAGGGCTGAGGAGAGTAAGGGAAGCCTTGTCTCCAGGTTGTACCTGGCTGCCTTCCTGCTTTCAGGTATTTCCTACCTGACTGGAAAACCAAGGCAAGCAGTGGGGGAAACGAGATGCTGTTCTGCTTTCCCAGGCCCTTCCCCTGCCTTGTCACATTTTCCCTGTGTGTTTCTTCCAGTGTTTGGGACACCTTGAACTCTCTGTCTCTCTCTGTTTTCTTCTTGTCTAATCTGATGTCCTTTTTGTACTTTTGTTTCTCTGGCATTTCTTCTTTCCCTTGTGCTTTTTCCTCCCCAAGTCCTGAAAAGAGACTGATTATTTCTCTTGGGATAACCCAGACTGGATCAGACTTGGAAGGATTCATGAAGGGAGGACTGAATCTGGAGTTGAGGAGTGGAGTAGCTGCATCTCACAGAAAAAAATCTAAAAATATTGGCTGATAACAGTCAGTGGTATTTCACAGTTGTGATCTGACCCACAAACCATGTGCAAAATCAGCACATTTGGACACAGCTTTTGCTGTCTGAATTTGTATTTTCTGGGTAGATTTGTTGCAGGATGATGGTCCATGGCTTACAGGGCTTGAAGGCCAGTGTGGGGTTGGTTTGGGGAATGATGCCCTGAGGGAACCCTTGAGGAGCACAATTCCCTTGGTTGATGTGGCTTCTTGGATAACATTTCTGGAGCTTCAGAGCTGCCTCTGGAAGTGACACAGAAACACTTCCAGAAGTTCAGGGCACCTCCCCAAAGTGCTGGGGTGGCTCCCCAGGTGCCTTGGCCTCTGCTCCAGTGTTTCCATCCTGCTGTGCCCACTCCCTTCATGGAGCAGGCAGTGTGGGCCAGCTTAGCAGTGTTTGTCATGGTGGGAGCAGCTCTCCCTGCTCCAGGAGCTCGTGGTGCTGCAGCCTCACAGGCTGCGCTCAGCTCTTGGCCATCTGCACATTCTCTGGGTTTCCGTGGAGCTCAGTTTGCATCCAAGCCACATGTCAGCCCTGCCCCAGGGAGGATTAAGCTCAGTCAAGGAGGAGTCTCACTACTGAGAAATGTTTAGTTTAAAAAGCAGTTTCCTTCCACCTAACAAGCAATACTCCTTCTGGAGTGAGAATTCCCTCAGAACACTGGCTGGGGCTGAGCACTAATAAATTCCTCTTCTCTCTCTTTTTCCCTGCATCTCCTGGAATCTCTAGCATCTCGTAAGTATAATCTTAATTTTTTTATTTCCTTGTCTGTTGATGTCCTGGATAAACTCTCCTGTCCTGTCCATCACATTCACTCGTGCTTTCCCTGTGCTAGGGGCTGGCAGGAGGTTAGGTGGCTACACCTGCTAGGCCTACCTGGATCCCACCAAACCATCCTCATCCTCCGAGTGCAGCCCTCAGTTGCTGGCACACTTTGTCCCTCAGGATGCTGCTGTGCAGAGAGGGTGTGGCTGCAGCTCCCAGGTGCATTCTGCAGAGCAGGGATGGTGGCTGCTCCTTTGGGCCACGTTCTGATGTTTAAGGGAGTGAGGAGCTGTGGTTTGAGTGCCCTGACCCACACGAGGTGCTGCCCAGCCCCCTGGGCAGCTCAACCTGTGTTTTCTGCTGAGAGCTTCCCTCTGTGTGTCCCTTGTCCTGTCCACTTCCAGGCCGTGGACTTGGTTAATGCCTTGAAATGGTTTCCCAGGGCGTTCAGGGGCTACGCAGAGAGGAAGAGACGGAAACGAGAGAATGATTCTGCAGCTCTTATCCAGAGGTAGGGCCCCTTCCCCGAGCTGTGACTGCTGTTGCATGGGCCCTTGGGGTCACTACTGAGCCCTGCTGGCATTGACCGTGACTGTCCCTGTCTCTGTGCTGTCCTGGGGACGCTGGCAGTGGCTCTGCTGGAGCTGAGGAGGTGAATGATGCTCAGGAGAGCTGATCTCCATCTTCTTAAAGAGCACTGTCAAGTTGCTTTTAGTGTTCAACATGATCTGTGCCTCAGGCAGAAAAATATGTACTTTAAAAATTAAAGATGTAATTTCCACATTCCAGCTTGGAATTCCAGATCATCACGGAATGGCTTGGATTGGAAGACATCTAAAATATGATCTAGTTCCAGTTCCCCTGCCACAGGCAGGCGTTTATTTGAGGTTAGATGAATATGTGCCGTTGTTGCATCTACAAATGCACCTCAAAAATCTGAGACCTAGGCAAAATTGACATCTCTAGTGACCAGGAGTCAATTTTTAAGTTTTTTCTTCAATAATAGAAGAGAAAGAAAAATGGCTGGGGACTGAGTCGTTGTCCAGAAGGGCCTGGTTTCCTTCTGTAGGCTTCCTATGGCATGTCACTTACAGTAGGAATGAGAACTGGTTTGATTTTTCAAATGTGCCAAGACTTGTGGCAGCCTACTGAAAAGGATAAGACAGTATCTATGTCATTGGTTTAAAACTGCCATAATCACTTCAGCACTGTTCAAAACTAAGTGGGAGAAAAACATCAGGTTTTCTTAACTGAGAAATATCTTTTTTTGGCAACTTCAGAGTAGTGAAGTTTTTTCATCAATAACAAAGAGAAATAAAAATCCAAACTAAAGACACTCTAAACAAGTAGACAGTGTATCTTTAAAAAGAGAGATTTCTCAGAATTTGTTAGGCAGAGGCAAGTCTTGGTTAGAAAATGGTTTGTGAGTACAGGAGCAGTTGTGTCACTTAATGGGGCTGTGTAGTCAGGAGAGAGGACAGAGTCACCTGAGCCATGTCCAGCGTGTCCCTTCTCCTGCTGTGCACCTGGGCAGGGCAGGGCAGGCAGCCTGGCTGTGCCTGTCCTGTTCCAGAGAGGAGTGGGACAGCACTGGGGGGGACAGCTCCTGCAGGGAGCAAGGAGAACCCTGCAGTGCAGCCCTTGGTGGGTGTTTTAGGGTTCAGCTGTTCTCACACAGCCCCTTCAGTGCTGAGTCCTGGTGTCCAGGGAGGCTGGACTGTGTGGTGTGGCCACAAGGGTGGCCACTGCCTGTGGTCACTGCGCTGCAAAGAGAGAGAAAGGACAGCAACACACACGGAGCTCTTTGGGGAAAAAAGGCCAATTTATTGTACAGACAGCCCGGATTTAAAGTGTGTTAGTGCAGCCAGGACAGGACAGGAGCTCATTGGACAATTGGGAAAAACATCCCTGGGACAGCACCTCAGGATGTGTCCCACGGGAAAGACACCAGGGGTTAATCTTTATTATGAATTCCACTCTGTTTGTCACCATGTTATCACCCTGGGAGACTCCTCCCTAACTGAAGCTGCAGTCAGCTTGTCAGCCTGGGAATGGAGCTGAGAGTCAGGAGAAATCCAGGCCTGAATGGAATTGCCAAGCTGTAATTCCCCAGCTCTCTAAACGTGTGTGTCCACAACTGCCTGTGGAGTGAGGGCTGCCCAGAGCTGCCAGAGAGAAGTGTGAGAGGTGCTGTCAGGAATTTGGATAATGAAAAGACTTCTGGGCAGAGTGTGGTGACCCTCTGCAGTGTCTTGGAGCCCCTCTGGCTGGGATGGATACCCTGGAGGTGCCATGGGCCATGCAGACCATGAGGCACACTGGAGGAGAGCTGTTCAGAAAAGAGAGTGATGAGGACATTTCATCGCTGAAACTTGAGGGATTCTGGTTTGTGTCATGATGGGCGAAGGGATCTTGTAAGGGATCAAATGCCACAGGGTTCCTGGGTGCAGTTGCAGGAGCCAGGCAGGAAGGCTGGGCAGCTTTGGGGAGCCCCACTGCCCATGGGCAGAGCAGCTTTCCCAGGTCCAGTCCTGTCATGCTGAGATGCAGGCACAGAGGAGCCTGAGGAGCCAGGCAGCTGCAAGAAGCCCTCAGAAGGATCTCGATATTCACAGCACAGCCACATTAGGAGGCAGACCCAGACTTGCAGTACTTTTCCAAAGTGCTGTTTTTTCAATAAGAAAATAGATGGAGCTAAAGATCTTTGTCCCATTCTGTGAGTATTTAGTGCACTGGTTAATCTTGAAAAGCTGGATTCTCCTTGGATCTTCTCTCAGCAGTGTTTAGATGGTATTTAGGTCTCTTATGGGAGAGCCCAAGCTGTCCAGGCAGCTGGGAGCAACCTTCTTCCATGGCAAAAGCTGCTTTACCCCTCTTCCCCCAGCGTCTGAAGAAACTCCTCTGTGGAGAGGACAGCTGGGCATTGAACAGAAAGGTGGGTTTTACTCCAAAATGCCAAAAGCCCAAAGGATGCGACAGTGGCCTTGGGCAATTAACATTGGTGCTCAGTGTCTGGTATGATATGAGGCTCACAACAGACCATAAAGATTTCCATATCACATATGTCTAAGGCTTTTTTGTGTAAAGAACAGCCCTGGATCCCTTAAAAAGTTGTATTTATTTGGATTTTAATCTCATGCACTGTAAGACCCCAGAGGGCTTTGTACAAAGAGCCAGGCCAGGGATGTGTCTAAAGGGGAACTTGTCTGATCCACAGCACTGAATCTTCATGTACTCAAGTAGAGACAAAATAAATCCTTGGGAAACATTAATAGCCCAAGCATAGACAGAAGTTTGGCATGGAATAATGCTGTTCCTAGCTGCTGTTTTTGCTTCTTGCTGAATTTGGAGCCTGATGACAACAAGGGATCCCAAGCCAAAGAGGGGAGGTGCAGGAGGTGACATGGGTTCTGTCCCATGAGGACTGAGTTTGTGTGGATCTCCCAGACAGGAACAGATGTATCCCAGTTTCTCTGAACAACTTCTTGTCAGTGCTGGAAGTGTCTTTTGGTCGAATCAGTTTGCTAAAGCATCTGCATGGTTGTGCCATGTCCTTACTCACCCCACTTACCTGTGTGTGAGCCAGACAGCTTGTGACTTACCCCTTTCACCAGCTGTGGTGTCTGTTGCCTGGTGTTTGCCCTGTGTGTTGAGGGGCACAAGGAATCCAGGAAGGCTTCCCCCCTCCAGGGGCTCTCTGTCATCCTGGGGCTGCACTGTGGGGTGAAGCCACAGTCACTGAATAGATTCATGGAGAGGTGATGCTGCTCTTGATGCTGATTCTCCCTGTCTGCTCTGGTGTCCTGTTTGTTCTGTCCTGTTCCTGCCTCGTGAGTGATGAGAAACTGAGACACTGGTCCCTTGCACTCGGAGGGGCTGGGCAGAGTCCCTTTGCCGTGGCCTCTCAGAAGTGGCCAGGACATTCTGTTTCACGCAGACGTGACTCTGGGGTGTAGCTGCTCCCCAGGGCTTTCCCCTGGAGCTGTGTGCTCTGCAGGCCCATGGAGACAGGCAGCATCACTGAACTCTGCTGTGCAAGCAGGGAGAACCTGCTTTGGTCCTCCCCAGCTCTGCCTGGAGAGCAGCAGGGCTGCATGGTTAGCAGCAGCACAGGAGGAGCTGTAGGAGCTGCTGTGTTTGGGAATGAGCACAGCCATGAGTGTGGGGTGTGCAGAGCCTGAGCACCCCACGTTCCTGCTGGAGAGAGGAGAGCAGTTACTGCTCTTTACCAGGAAAAAACCAGGAGAGAACACTGCCAGCACGGGCAGTGGGTGTCCTCAGCAAATACAGCACAGGTAAAGATTAACCAGAGAAAAAGGAAAGCAGCCACGAGCAGGGGGCTGCCCTGTGGGACCCCACTTGCCCTGTACCACCAGCCCAGGGAGCTCAGAACAGCCCCACTCAACAAACATCACCATCCCCAGCACTAAATCACTGCAGGCTGGGGACCTGGGCTCTAGTTTGGAATGCCCAGAAGGAAATATGCCATCATCCCCATTTTGTTTTCTTCCTCCCTGTTTTCACAGTCCTGCTGGGCCCAGGTGTAGTTTTGTGTCACCCTTCTCAAAGGTTGTGTTTGGCCTTTCTTTCAGGAATTTTCGGAAGCACCTCCGCATGGTGGGGAGCCGAAGGGTTAAAGCACAAAGTAAGTGAGCACCTGGAATTGTGGCTGTGGGGTTTGTGGGAATTCTATCACATTCAAATGTGAGTTGAAAGGACCTGGCTTTGGGCTGGAGAGAGGATTTGACCTGTTGGTGCCATTTTACCCTACAAACAAGAAGGCCAGGTGGTTGCAGGTGTCCAGGACGTGTGGATTCCTGCAGCAGCCTGAGGCTGTTCCCAAGGACCCTCTGCTGTGGCTGTGGGACATCCCTGGTGCAAGGCATGGAAGGAAAGCTGCATCATCTTTGTCCCCTGTGTGGAATTTGGTGATCACTGGTGTGGAGGCCAGTGAGGAGAACCCAAGCTGGGAGTGCAGCAGAGCTCCTGGCCTCTCTTTGCAGCTGTGACCAGCTGTGGCTCCATGTGCCACACAGACTGCTGGCTGTCCCCTCCTCACTTGTCTTACTGCCATCACAGCAGGACCTGGGGGAGACTTACCTGGTGGGAACTGAGATGATGGTGGAAGGAAGAAAGAAGAGCATCAGAGAAGAGATTGGAACAAGGGGCAAATCAGGGAGTGTTACGCCTCACTGGGAAGAAGTCACCTCTTAGGACTACAAAATGGCAGTTCCCTTTCCCTGGGGAAGGCAATAATCCTCCAAAAGTTGATTGGGCAACTCCCTTAGTGCTGTGAAAGTGGTGTATCCTGCTCCTGGGAGCTGAGGATTGCTCCAGAAGAGAAAGCATCTTGTTCTTCCCACCTCCTGACCAGGCATCATGTACAGAGTGCCCACAGCAAAGCACTGCTGAGTTCAGTTTGCATTCTTTCCTTTCTCATATGCTGTGGGAAGTGATCAGCAAAGAGCTTTGCCCTTTCCAGAGTCTTCATTGGCAACTGAGTTAGCACTGCCTGATGTGGACAGGGCTCACCTCCATGAAACTCAGGCATGCCTCTGCCTGAACTCCTGGGTCATGTTTTCAAAGCTTTCTTTCTGTGCACAGTAGCTAAATGCCTGGGTTTTACTGAAAGCTGAGGATGGAGATCACCTGAAGATGTGGTTTGTCTCCCCAGACACCCACGGTCACCACACTTCAGCAGGGGACAGGCTGCCCTTGTGATGCTGACCTGCAGTGAATTCCTGTGCTGCTGTTACTCAATTCCCTGCTGCACACTCTGTCTGCCACCAGAAATAGGTATTAGTGCCCATAAGTGGCTGTTAATCCTGCCATAATGGCTCTCACATGGGCTTGCCAAGTCAGACATGGTGGTTGCCAGTTCCCAGGAATTTGCCTGCGGTGCAGCCGTCTGAGCCAAGCTCCCTGGGTTGTGCTTTGGAAATGCTGGTGCAAACAATACAGCACTCCTTGGGAGGAAAAAAAGCTGTGAGTAGTGCTCACAAGAGCACTGCAGGCAAGCAGAGGCTGAAGGATTTCCTCTTTTGCAACAAAATGTAGAAAGCATGAGCTTTCCAGAGACGTCTCCCTGCTGTTTGGTCCAATTCTGACTGGGGTGTCAGTAGAGCATTAAGGGAGAGCTGACTGGAGAGCTACAGCCTTCTTCTGAGCATGCAGGTGCCATTAGCTGTGCAGTGCATGTTTCTGTGAGGCCTTGGAGTCTGAGCATTTGCACTGGACTGGCCTTGGTTAAATTGAGGTTTGAGCTGTGTGCATTTAAGGAGAGACCATCAAGTGTTGTCCCTTTTCTGTGTTCCATGTCCCATCCTGTGCACAAGTGGGCACTTTGTCTCTGCTGTGTGGAAAGGACTCACGTTTGGCAAGTGGAAGGACCAGCCCAGGGGAGTCTGTGATGTGTGGCTTTGGTGGCAATCTGCTGGATGATTTGTTTGCTGGCAGCAGCAGAGGTGCTTTGGGATCTGTTAATGTCGTGCTCTGGTTTTATCCTTTAGCATTTGCCGAACGGCGTGAGAGGAGCTTCAGCAGGTCCTGGAGTGACCCGACTCCCATCAAAGCTGATCCCTTCCATGACTCTCGAGAAAGTGAGTTCTGAGTCCTTTGAGCTTCCTCCTGTGGGTAAACCCTCCAGTAGTTGCTGACTGGAGTCCCACTGGAGTAACTCCTCTGTGCCCTTCTGTCCTGTCTGTGATCCTTTTTTAGTTTCCTGAGATCGGAGCAGGTAACGCTCCAGGTGTATGTACCTGTTCATCTGTGTGTCCCTGTATTTATTTGTAGAGCACCACTCATCCAACCTCAGGTTATTGAGCAGTTGCCAAAGGGTACCCAGTGTACAGCTCTCTTACAGCCCTGTGTTCCCATCATCCATTATCCTCTTGGCACCAAAACAACCTCTCTGGAAGCTCACCAGTCCAAGGCTGCCTTTACCATAGTGGGGCTAACATGGCTTCCCATGCAGGAGCCCCTTCTGAGCTCTTTCCTAGCCTGGAATAGCTCAAGAATACAATTGATGAGATAGAGCTTTGATTTTCTGCACAGGTGATAGCTTGGGGCAATCTGATCTTCATTTGGGCTGCCAGGAATCCCTCTGGGAATCCCCAGTAATGCTGCCATGTTCTGCTTGAGGGGTCTGAGATGCTGTTGTGTTCATTTACAAGAAGGAATGCCAGCATCTTCTCACTGTATTCTTATAAAGGGAATGGCTGTTTTACACAGATTTTATTGCAAGCTTGTAGGCAGGAGCTTGGTGGATATGAGTTTGCCCATGTTGAAGTGAATTTCACTAATGAAATGATCTGATCTAGCAGGTAAGCATGAGATCTGGCCAGATAGGTGTAGAAGACCCAGGTTGAAGGGGGAGGTGTATGGAAGGCCAGGTTCAAAACATGACCCTGTTGTTTGGCAGTCTGACTCCTCCCTGCTCCCTCAGCTGCCCGGAGGCACATGGAAAAGCCATGGAAAAGCCATGGAAAAGCCATGGAAAAGCCATGGAAAAGCTGTACTTCACACAGGCTCCAGGCACTGCTCAGCGACATTTGGACATCCCCAAAGGCTCAAACAGTGGCACCTCAGTTCTCTTTCCTCAGTCCAGCAACCATCTCTGTTTTTAACCTTTAATGGTCAATTATATTCCTTCCAGATGTTTTTTTCCCCAGGAGCATTGAAGGCCAACAGGTAAGGTCAATTTGAAGAGCAAGTTCAAGTCTACTGTTGCAATATGACTGTGTTTGTTGCAGCTGTCGTCACGCACGCTCTAAGACTTCTCTGCCAGGATCAGTCTGACCAACAAGACAGATTTTCTTTTTAATCCCTCAAAAGATGTAGTCAGAGCAGTAATTACTAGAAGGAGACCAGCTTTGAATTCTTTGGACTTTTGCTTACCAGCCTGGCAGTGCTGAAGTGTAGAGAGTCTGTCTGTGTTCTGTCTCCTTCCCCATTTCTGGAGTGACAGGGTGACTGTTGTGACTTAGCATTTGAAAACCAAGCTTGGTGACTGCAGAGTGATGAACTTCTGTGACACGTGGTGTGAGCTCTCTGTGCACTCTTCATTTGTTCCATGTTTGTCTGTTCGAAGACACCAGCCCCAGAGTGGTGTCTGTCACTCTGTGGGTGACAAGAGGGCACGAGTGTCGTGGCACCTCTTGTGAGGAAGCTGCCAAGGCAGGCTGGAGTGGGGAAGGCTGTTCTGCCCTTGTAATGCTCCCTGTGTTCTGGCAGGCCATGACCTTCAGGATTCCTGTGGGACTCTGGACGGTGACTTTGACTTGAACTGGGAAGCAGAAAAGGAGCTTGAAGCCATGGCATGTGACGGAGAAGACTTTATTCCACCAAAAATAATGGTGAGAGTTTCCAGCTTATGCTCTGCCTGTCCTTTCAGTGCTGCTAAGTTCAGGATCTTCATGGGAAGTCTGTTGTATAGGCACTGCCTCAGGTGTCTGTGAGGGTCAGTCAGATGAACCAAGACATGACATGGGTTCAGATCTGTTACTGCTGGGGGTAATGCGTTGAAAGAAAACTAGAAGGAGGGATCTGTAGTCCAAATCACAGCAGGACAGACACCAACACAGAACCAAGACAGCCTAAGGCTTGTTACCCTGAAAATAGAGACCTGAGCACCACTGCCAGCTCTGCACCCACAGCAACGAACTGTGGAATCACAACAGAGCTCAGAGCTCTGGTTGCTGCTGGAGCCAGCTGAGGCTTCAGCCAGAGCTGTCAGGCACTGTCTGACACCTGCAGCCCTGTGCCTGCTGTGCCTGGTGCAGTGCCAGGCCTTGGCTGGACCCTCTGCAGGTCCCACCAGACACTGAACACTCTCTGCAGCCGAAAGGAGGTTTTGCAGGAGTGATCCTTGCTGGGATACAGCATCCATGGTGATGCACAAGCTGCTGCATCCTCTGTGCATCCCAGTCTCTCTTTCCCAGACTGTTCTGGGCCCAGTGCAGCCTGAGGGCAGAGCTGTGTGCTCATGGGTTGGGAGTCAAGGAGATGGTGACACTCAGGGGCTCTTGGCAGGCCTGGGGTGCTCTGGGCTGGGAGCTTTCTGCTGGGATGTGGATAGACTGGGTTAGCTGTATCTCGAGTAATACCTGAGAACAGCTGAACAGGGCACTGTTTTATGGCCTTTGTGCTTCTGTCCAGACTCTACTGCCTTCTCCTCATGCTGTTGCACCTTTTTTCCCCCTTTGCAGCTCATTTCTTCCAAGGTGCCCAAAGCAGAGTATGTCCCAACAATTATCCGCAGGGACGACCCCTCCATCATCCCCATCCTCTATGTAAGTAAATCAGTTCTGCTGTGGATGAGAACAGGAGTCATAAAGAGACTTTTTTATTTCCCTAGTTGCTGTTAGGGTGACTCCAAAATGCTGATGTGATTTGGAAAAGCTGTCAGGAAGGAGCTTGGGGGTGTGTGGAACCCAGCTTTGGGGTCTGGGGTAGCTTTGTGGGGTCTAGGGGGAGCAGTCAGGTGGGTGGAAATGGCACACGTGGGCTCTGGGCTCTGCAGCCCAGCCAAGCTGCATGGGAGGATTATCAAGGGAAGGCAGGGCAGGCATTGCCAGGCTTAGGGCTCCTCCTTATGCTCATCCTTGGGATAAGCAGCACCTCAGAGCCTGGCAGTGACCCACCAACCCCATCACCCCACGTGCAATGGGACATCCCTTCAGTCATTAATTGAACTCTGACTTTTCCCTGGCATTCTGGCCTGAGCAGGTGTCTGAAACAGCAGTGAGGAGTCATGGGTTTCTTTTTCCTAATTGCTGAATTTGGAAGGGAAGGTGAGACTGAGCCCAGCAAGGCCAGTGTCAGTGTGCAGCAGGCAGTGCTGCTGGGCCTTAGCCTTGCTGCTCTTGCCTCTCTTCCTCGGAGGGTTGTTCTGTTGTCCTGATGACCCTGCTATGGCTCAGGCAGCTGTGTTGGGAGCTCAGCCAGCTCGGACAGGGGTAAAGCCAGAGAGAGGCTGCAAAACATGGGCCAAACAGGCACTGCTGATGTTGGCTGCATCTGAGGGACAGTCTGTGCTTTGGATGTGTCTGCACATTCAGCTTCAAGCCTTCAGGAGGATTTGATCTTCATGGACTGTTCAGTCTTCAGCTTCTGTGCTGAAATGTAATTTAGGGTGAGGGTTACTGCTGCTGTGACCAGCAGCCAGCAGCTGGTGTAAATGTGCTGTTAAAGCATCCTTGGGATGGGACTGTGTGGTTATTAGGGAACTGGTGGAGTGACAGTGAACCTTTACATGTCTTCTGTCTTGGTTTCCAGGACCATGAACACGCCACCTTTGATGACATCCTGGGTACGTGAGTGTTACCTCCTTTTATCTCCTGCCCGTTGCAAATGTAACCATCAATATTTAAGTCACTCAGCTGCCCTGAGCTTCAGCTGCCACTCACAGAGGTGTTTTTGTCACCCCAGTGACCCCTGACAGTCAGTCAGCTGCTCTTGGATGTGCTGTTGTAATCAACATTCACTTCTGTGGCCTGTTTTCTGTGCCAAACTCATGGTTTGTGGCAGAGGAGCTGAGGCACAGGGCAGCAGGTGCCTGTTCATTGTACCTGTGGTGGGGAGTGGGAGCAGTGACAGAGGGCCAGGAGGGCTGGGGCTGCTCTGGAGCTGTGGTCACTACAGAGCAATGCCTGGTGCTGTTCATCCTTTCTCTGCCCTGTCCCCTGCTGACATTTCCTGCTCCCACAGCATCTTTGGCAGGTATTGAGCACTCCTGCCAGCTCATCTTCCTGCCCTCAGGACTAAGTGTAAAGAAATAAGATTAATTTTGAGCTTTGTCTGTGGTTCATCTTTTCCAACTTTTTTTTTTTTTTTTTCCCCAGAGGAAATAGAGAAGAAACTTAACATTTATCGGAAAGGCTGCAAAATTTGGAAGATGCTGATATTCTGCCAGGTACGTGAAAGTTGTTAAACACTTGGGTGATTTGTTACAGATTTGTCTTTTTCTATGAGGAAAATGACATAGAGGAACCAATCTTCCAAAGTCAGTTTCCATTAAAGTTGATGCCAAGGCACAGCTTTCACTTCCCATTTCCCAGACATGGAGCAGTCTCAGGTTGCTGTGACAGCAGGAAATGAAATCTGATTTAGTGGGGTCAAGTCAAGAGCTGGACTGATTCTCTCAAGGAACCCCAAACAAACCAGCACTGACCTAGAAAGATTCCAGAGACAAGAACAAGCACTTGCAGTGTCATAGTTATGGTTTCCATCCAGCTTCACTGTGACAGTGACAGTGGTGTGTGTTGTGGGCCAGACTGGCAGATGGCTCAGCTGGGAGCTGGAAGCCAGAGGACACGGGAGAAGGGTCAGGCCCTGCTGGATTTGGGGGTTGCTGGGGATTTCCTTCCCAAATTTGCTGTTCCTCGTGGTGGTCAGCTGTGGACTTCTGGGCAGCTGTGCCTTGAGAAGTGAGGGAGGTGACCAAACTGAACTCCCTCCATGTGCCCAGTGCTGCAGAGGAGCAGCTTTGCTGCACACTGACCTGGAGATTGTGTCTTTTAATGTTCCTGGTGTTGTGTCAACCTGTTCATGCCTCCTGCTGCCCAAGTCCAGTTCCTCTGCAGTGCTGCTGTCCCTGCTGTGCTCAGCTTCTCTACTGCCCACCCCCAGCATCCCCCAGTGACAGGGACTTTCTTGTCTTCCCTATTACTCTCCAGCCACCCACAATGGCGTTTTTAATCTATTATTGTGCCTTTCTAGAGTGATGCAGGCACAGAGCAGCAAAAAGCAGGGAATCCAACCCCCAGCACAGTGCCCGTGTGTGGATGTTCCCTGAGCGTGCCCGCAGTTCAGGGCTGCCCTGCTCCCTTGTGGCACTTCTGGGAATGGCTGGGCAGGAGAGGAAACGCATCCGGGGTTTGTTTCCTCAGGGCCTGTGCACAGGGGTTTCCATCTGTCCGTCTGTCTCTTGCAGGGAGGCCCCGGGCACTTGTACTTGTTAAAGAACAAAGTTGCCACTTTCGCCAAAGTGGAGAAGGAGGAAGATCTGATCCTGTGAGTGGCTGTGTTGTGTTCTGGGCTTGCGTGGCGTTTTTCTGCTGGGTTTGCTCGATGTTTGCAGCACATGGTGGAGCAGGAGAAGTGAAGGGAGCTGGGGTGGCTTGGTCAGGGGATGAGGAGGCTGAGGAGGCACTGAACAGCAGCTCACAGCTCATTCAGGGACAACAGCAAAGGTGGCAGAGCTGAGCTTGTCCCTGGAGTGCTGCAGCCCTGTCACTGGGAGATTTATACTTCTATCTGTTTAGTGTTTATGTGGATAGAGACTGTCAAAAGAGGAGGAAAAAAAGGATATTTCTTCTACTGAAAACAACTTTGCTGCCCACAAATGAGAACATGCACCCCGAGCCTCTGGTGCTGTGATACCATTGCTAAGCTGGTGACTATGGCAGAAATCCAGAGTGTTCCCCCACAGCTGACTCTGGCCAAGGGGAAATGGAATTTGTCTCTGCAAAGCCTGCTCAAAGTCCAGCCGGTTACTGAGGAGGCTTTTCACTAACATGCCAGCCTTCAGCTGGGAGTGCTGAGCAATTTTGCTGCTCCTTGCAGAGAGTAGAGCTTTGCTTGTTTTGCTGCCTACTCGCTTGTGCTGGCTCAAACTTGCTTGGCTAACAGTGCCTGGCTGTGGGGGAGAGGATGTACACCAGCCTGTTCCTACACAACTTCTTGTTGGCATGAGAACTGAGTATTAAAATCAACATCTGCTCAGCAATCTCATGCCCTGGCACAAACACTGGCTGTGGAATTCTCCAGCACGTGTGCACATCCACGATTCTGAGCACATCCCAGGCATAGCTGCTCCCAAGCTGATAAACCAGGGATCTGCACGAAGCTGTAAACACAGAGCTGAAAGTCTGGGAGCTTGGAAATTAACGTCTTTATCCAGCTTGTGTGTTCCTGGGAGGCAGTGCTGAGGAAAGCTGAGGCTGCAGTCTGGTTGGAACACCCATGGAGGAATTTCTGGGCTTTAGAGCCTCCCAAAAGTCTGCTCCAACCCTCTGCCCAGGGGAGGGGATCGTGTTTCACATCCCTCAGGCACCAGTGCCTGGTCACAGTCAGCACACATCAATTGGGGTGACTGTGAGCAGCACCAAGCACAGGCTGACATGGCTGGGCTGTGTTGTCTCACTCAGAACAATCTCTCCAGCTGTTCCCTGCTGATTTCATGCCCTGGAAATGAATCAGTGCACTGATAACCCTCGTGTTCAGAAAGGGCAGTTGTTGCTGGAAATGGGAGAGAGGAAGCTGGAGGGGATGATTGGTAAAACTCATTCCAGAAGCATTCCTGGGGGACTTTGCTCCTTCCTCCTCACCTTGGAGCTCCCTTGGCTCCATGGGCTGCTCCTCCTTCTCTGCCACCTGGCTTGGACCTGCTCCTCAGGCCCTGGCTCTGCCCCTGTTCTTTCTTGTCTGAGATCCAGTGGCTCTTCCTGAGCAGTTTCTGCCCAGGCTACAAACCTTGTGCCGTGTCTAAGTGCTGTGTGCACACATCCTTGGCATTAATCATGCCTATGAGGAGAAAATTTTTTTTAATCGTGTGCTCTGTTTTTTCCAGCTTCTGGAAGAGGTTGAGCCGACTGATGAGTAAAGTCAATCCTGAACCAAATATCATCCACATCATGGGCTGCTATGTTCTTGGAAACCCCAATGGGGAGAAGGTAGGAGCTTGTGGGTCACCCCTGGAATGTCAGGGAGGTCAGAGTCACACTGGGAGCTCTAAACCTGCCTCTTCTGCTGGGTGGGAATGTGTGGGAGATCCACCCTCTGGACTGTGGGCAGGGGAGGAAGGATTAGTGATGTGTAGGACAAATAACTGAGACCTTTGAGGAGAAGAGTTGTTCAAAGCACTTGGTTTATTTATTTACTGCTGAGATAGATGTTTTAAAGGACATGGGTGGAAGGTTTTCCAGAAAAAATGTGGGCAGTTCTGGGTGCTCAGGACTCACCATTGTTTTCACTGTTAACTCTGATATGTTTTCATTTCAGCTATTTCAGAATCTGAAAAACTTAATGAATCCTTATAGGGTTGCCTTTGAGTCTCCACTTGAACTATCAGCTCAAGGTAATTTATTTCCTGTACAAAAATGCACACACACACACAGACACACACCTTGCTAACCAGTCTGTCTCTTTCAGAGAGCATCTTCATCAAAAAGCAGTTTGACTCCCTTAAGTCCTGCCATGGTCTTTGTTTAGCTTGTAACCACCTTGTGTAGTTCAGATGCTGCTCCTGGCTTTTCCCTTGCAGTTCCTGCATCTGTTCACATCATTTCAGATGCCCTGTTTGTTGTGCCTGAGGCTGCAGAGCCTCTCCTAGGATCCTGGCAATGCAAAGGAGACAGCTTTCCAGGCTGAGTGTAGGAGAATCCATCGTTATTAGGGCATGAGGAGTCTGGGGGGGAAATGCCCATGGAGCAGAACCTTTTCTGTAGCCAGGTGTGCTGGGAGCTCTTCTCCAGAGCTCAAACCACTGGCACCAAGTGAATGGTGTCAATAAGCAGCTGGGATATGGCCCATCAGAGCCATTCTACAGCTCAGTGTGCTGGCCTTTTCCCCTTTTTTGTTTCCTGTAGCTCAGATATTTCAAGAAGCTACAGGATTTTTCCTGTTTGTTAATCAATGTCAGTAATTCACAGTGCAGTTTCACAAGCAACAGATTCTGAGTTTGCCTCTGTTCTCTAATCTTTGCTGTAGGTCTTGGCAGATAAAACCATGCAGGATTCAGCTGTAGGCATTTCTCTGCTGCCCCCAGCTCTGGTCTCAGCACTGCTGGATTTTTCTTACCTCCCTTCACCCTCAGGAATGTGCAGGAGTTGAGCACATTGGTGCTCAACTGTGCAGAGCTCACAGAATCCCAGAGTCACAGATTAGTTTGGATTGGAAAGGTCCTTAAGGATCACCCAGTTCCAGCCCCTCCATGGGCAGGGACCTCCCCTAGCCCAGGCTGTTCAGTTCTCTGGGTGTGATCAGTTCAGCTGCACACGGTGCCTGCACAGCTCCCAGAGCAAACACTCTCAGATGTGTCCAGGAGCTGCTTGCAGGGAAATTCCCACGTTTGTGGGCAGCACAGCAGGCCAGGCAGTGGTTCTGTGTGCAGGCATTAAAGCAGCTGAGCTGAAGAATACGTCTGAATTTATCCCCTTGATCAGTCTGGGACGTACTGAGAGTGTACCCTTGTAATCCTTTGCAAAGTCATCTAAAACTAATCTTAATCAGACCTCACAAGTGAAAATCCCCTCCTTGAGCCCTGTCTGCAGGGCAGGGTTGTTTGCCCTTGTGTTCTCAAATGCAGCTCCTGGCTGCCTGTGAGACTCCCATCAGTCAGAGGGGCTGGGGGACACAGCTGGCACTGGTGTGTGCTGGGAGGTCATTGCTGGGAGCACAGGAGCAGGACAGGGATGGCCTGGTCATTTAAAAAAAATGTATTTTTTAATCTGAATTTTCAGTGTTAATTATTTTTAGTGTTTCTTTACAAGGAGTTAACTCTTGGCTTACAACCTCTGAAGTCCCTGTGCCTCACACAGGCTGTGGCTGATCCTGTCCAGCCCCCAGCTCCCCTCAGCACTCAGAGCAGAGAGGTCAAAGTCTGGAGAGAGACTTTGTGCTCAGTTCCTGCCCCTGGGGACAAACCCTGCCAAGGGATTACAGGAGCTGTTCATGGTTGAGGAGATCTAAAAAGATGTTTGTTTCTCACGGGCCCCTCCACGTGCTCAGTGTCAGTGTTTGCCATGGATGGGTCGCTGTGTCCTGCCCCAGCCAGGCTGGGGGTTTGTGCTGCCGTGTTCTGTCCCCTCTCCCTCGTGCTCCTTGCAGGGTGTGACCTCTGTGCCTCGTTTCACTTCTAGGTAAGCAAATGATTGAGACTTACTTTGACTTCCGCCTTTACCGCCTCTGGAAGACCCGCCAGCACTCCAAGCTATTGGATTACGATGACATTTTATGAGCTGGAGAAGACTTTGCAAGAGGAAGCTCATCACCAGTGTCCAAGAAGTCATGCTTTATTGCAGAGAGACTTTTTTATTGGCACAGGGAGCCCTTCACAGCCCTACAGGAGGCAGCAGTGCTAAAGGGAGGGAAGGAGGAGCCCTCGGAAGTGTCGGGAGGAAAAGTGTCCTGGGCCAAGAGAGACTGGAGGGAAGGGGTGACAGTGACACCTCGCTGGCCTCAGTCCGAGCCCTGGGGCCTCAGGAGGAGCTGTGTGAAACGAGGACAGGATGGAGTTCCTGGCAGAACTGAGCTGTTTTGGGTCAGAATGGGCCAGATTTGATTCCAGGTCCTTTTAAAGACTTTTGAAGCTCAGGTTTTCTTACAAAAAAACACAAACCCAGTTAACCCATGCACTACAGTGAAGAAGTCACCAGAGCACAGAGGAAGCAGGGGGTTGTCCTGGTGGGACTTTCTGTGCTGGGAGTCCTGGAGAGCAAGGACTGCTACACCTACTCCTGCAAGCTTAGAGCAAGATCATCCCGTTTCCATGTGAATATATACTGGGATATAGAATTGAAATCTTTTTTTTTTTTGTTTGTTTGTTTTGTTTAATAGAAAATAAGTGCAATTTTTATAGCGAGGGAGGGGGTAAAGTCCCTCCCCATATTTAATTAGTTAAAAATAACACACCATAACCAATAGATGAGGTATTTTTGGTCTGCTTGAAAATATATTCAGAATGGTAATATATCTTCTGTAGACATATTTAATCACCAGCAAACATGGTTTTAACATAAGTTAGCAGACCCTGCATGTCTGCTGCATTGGTTTGGTTCCTTTCAGAGTAGCTGTGCTGCACTACCTGTACGTGCTCTCACGAATGTATAGTTCTCCTCCAGTTAGCCACAATTTCATTACTTTCTATTTTGCTGCTTGCAAAACTATGGAACTTTAGTTTTGCTGAAATACTTTAGGTTAGAAACACGGGACCTGGCTGGGAAGCCTCGGTCAGGCTCGCTTTGGTATAAAAATGAATTAGAAATTAATAGCCATGGTAATTAATTGTTCATGCCAGTGTTTTGCTGTGTGTTGGGAGAGGAGCTCTCTTCGTGTGTGGAGACCCCTCTGAGGGGGTCTGAGCACTGAGGCATTTGGGAGAAATGCTTCTGGAGGGACACAGCACAGGCTTGGAGCATGACTTTGACTCCTCTCTGTTCACTTGATTGCCAGTTGTTTGTGCATAACCCACCCCTTTTCTCCTGACCTGTTTCTTGGTCTGAGCTGCTCAGCCCCTTCCTGTGTAGGACAGAGAAAGCCCCGAGCTCTGTCAGAGCAGCCTGAGAGCCCAGGTCTGTACTTGATATTTAATGGTATCTTTTGGAATCTATTTATTTTTGTTTGGTTTGGTAAGGGGGTGCTTTTTCAATTTTGGAGATGGGGCTTTTTTCACATTCTGCTGTCCTTTCAGAGGACAAATAGTACTTAGAGCCTGTGTAGGTCACTGGCAATTCTAGGAGGTTACACAAGTTATTTCTTTAACAAGCAAAGGAAGTGACAGGGAAGGGTTACCTTATTTTCCTGATATCTCAAATTTGTTGATTGTGAAGTGAAGGAAAATACATGTACAAATCTTCTTTTAACTACTTACAAAGAGAACTTGGTGTTCTGATCTGTAGAGTCCTCCTTCCCCTGTGCCATACCTGTGGTTGTGATTTTGGGGAGCAGGCCCCTGGCTAGAACTGCTGAACCCTTTACATTTAGAGCAGTTTTATAGCAAAACTTTTGAAGAAATAATGTACATACAGTAAGGAGAGGAATAGGTGGAGAGAGATGGTTTTAAAGCCACACAGACAGGTGTGGGCTGTTGCCTCCCCCAGGCTGGGAGCTTTGGTAGCCACGTCTCATCCCTGGACTCAGTCAGGCTTGTCAGACTTACAGTGAAGGGGAGAACAGGCACCATTCTGTAGCTTTTGGGAAAAAAAATGCCAGAAATAAAAGAAAAAGAACCCCAGATTTATGCCAATTACTGTTTAACATTGGAGCTTCCACCAGCTCTGCAGTGAGAAGTGGGAGCCAGAGGTGCAATGAAAGCACAAGTCATGTTTTCTAGAGAAGGAAATGGTTGTGGGAAGATTAAAATGCTGACACAAAACTCTCTCCCTTTCTGACCCTTTAACCTCCTAACTGGAGACAGGCAAACTGTTCTTCTTTCTCGAATCCCAATTCAGTGAACTTGGTAGCATGAATGTAGCATTGTGGAACTATTGAAAATCTTACTTAACCCCAAAGGGCCCATTTATGTATCCACTTGAGTGATTTCTCTGTAGAACTGTTGTATATCCTCACTGACCACTTGTAGTACTTGGGGTGCAAAGTAGAAGGTAGATTGTACAGTAATTTCTGTGTTGGAATGGACTATGGACTGTTCTGGTACAGTTTATGGCATATGACAACTGATGAATGCATTTCCCTCCAAAGATCTATATTCCTCATAGCTTGTGATGTTTATGACATGAACATATTTTTTCCTTTGTAGCATTCATTTGCCTAAAGAGATGAAATTCTCTCAGGGCTGTGACTGGAATAGAGTTGTGATGTTTGATGTCCTGTGTGTGGCAGCATCCTTGGAGTTAACCACTGGTGACAGGAACACTTTTATTCCCCCTTTTCACTGGTGGGGTTTTTCAAGTGGCTGCTCGGAAGGGAGGGGGTCAGCAGAGACAAATAAAAATAGTAGTTATTTAAACTTGAGAAGCAAAAATAGAGCCTGGAACTTCCTCAGTCAGACCAGCCTGTAAAGGATGAGCCCAGCTTGGTCCCAGCCAGGACAGCCCCAAGGCCCAGATTTTCCTCACCCCTGTGCCCCTGCAGCATCCCCTGAGGTTCTGGGGCTCCCTGCAGTGCCCTGCCCGGGGCAGCTGTGGCTGCTGGGCACACAGACAATCTCTCATTCCACTCCTGCCTGTTCCTGCAGCTCTCACCACCCTGCTCTCGGGGTGTGTCTGAAACCAGTTCTGTTCTGTGCCACCAGCAGTTCCGTGTGCCTGGGCTGGGTGAGCACAAGCAGCTCCATCCCCACTGCCCTGTTCCACCCAGAAGCTGCTGCTGCTCCTCTGTGCTCTGGAATTGCTTTAGAGGGGCAGGAGAGTTCACTGGTTCACTGGAAGAGAAGCAGATTGAGCCCACATGGCTGAATTGGGTGCCAGCCCAGGCTGTTCACCAGCCACAGGTGAGGGTTTGTGCTGGAGGCGGTGCTGGATGTGACCCCCAGCCCTCGGCTGGGTAAATGTGTTATCACACCTGTTAAATGTGATAAATGTGTTATGGCCCAGGCTGGCAGTGTCACCTCCAGGAGAGGAGAGTGGCAGGAAGGCCTCAGCTGTCCCAGCCCTGCTCACGTGCTGGGAGTGGCCCTGAGGATGCTCTCTGGTGCCTGCAGGGAATGTTCACTCAGCTGGAGAGGCCTGGGGGATCACAGATCCTGTGGATGTGGCACTTTCAGAGAGGCTTTTCTCTTTTCCTCTTGTTTGGCTGGGAAGGAAAGGGAAGAAGAAAATTCAAGTTATCCACGGGATGTAGAAATAGGTAGAAACAGATAAAGCTTTTTGCACCTCTGCTCGTGCTGTAGCCACCAGCTTCCCTTTGCAGCTAACCTCCAGGCCTGGGGTGGAAAACATGAATTCCCAGATAATCCCTTCCTGTGTAAAAAAAAAAAAAAAAAAACAAAAACAAAAGCAGAAAAATCCTTGTAGCTCCAGCAGGACATCTGACTGCAGAAGGTACCCAGCCAGCTCATCCTGCCTGTGTGAGGACTCTGCTGTGGGATCCCACCTGCTCCCACCTCTGGAGCCACCAGAGCCAGTGGAGGGGCTCGGCCTCTGTGCAGGAAACTCATGGAAGGAATTTATTCTCCATTCCTCAGCCTGGACTTGCTGCCTGGAGCTCAGCACAGGGTTCCTGCTTCCAGTGGTGTGTCCATGTGCTCTCGTGTCCTCGCCCCCAGGCTCTGTCCCCAGCTCTGGGGGTCACTCTGTGTGCAGGGAAGTGTTGGCTGGATGTGGTGTCCGGCTGGGGATCCTGGCACAGATCCACCCCACAAACAGCTCCTGCCTTGCTGACCTGGGCCTGGCAGTTCCTGTTCCCAGGCTCTGCTGGCAGGGCTGCTCTGCACCCTCAGCAGCACAAGTGGGGTTGGCTGACAGAATGGAAAATGCTGGTTATAAACAGCCAGGCCGGCAGGATCTGGGAATGGGAGCCTCTCCTTAATCCCGGCCCCATTCGTAATCCCACTGGAGGTGGAATGGCAGGCCTGCTCTGCTCTCCTGGTCTGAGTGTAAACATTCAGCCCCTCACAAGCCAGTTGGAGTCACACTTGGTTATTATTAGTGTCTTAGTCCAGGATAAGTTATGTTATTGTACGACTGAGAATCCTTCCAGGGCCCTTCCAGTTGGCACCTGCTCTCAGAACCCTCCACCAGGGATGTGCTGGGCCGTTTCCTCCTTCCTGGGGAACCAGGCCCCACTGCCCACTACCTGGGCTCAGGTAAAGCTCAGCTCAGGTCAAGCTGAGTTGCTCTGTGCTCTGGGTTTTGCTGTGCTGGTCCCTGGAGCTAGGGACAGCCCTTCCTGAGGATCCCAGTGTCCTCCCAAGGGCTATTGAGTGGTGATACCATTTTCCACATCATCTGTAAAGACTGTGTAATCCTGTATTTTGTACCACTGACTACAGCCTATCCCTGGCTTTCTGCATCTTCCATGCAAGTGTTTTTTAATTCTCATTCTGGAAACACAAGCCAAAGTCAACTGGAAACTGTTAACTGGCAAGTCAGCCTGTTCATGATCTCCTCTGTGGGAGCTGAGGGAGTAAATGGGTGGTTAAATGGCCATGACCCTGATTGGGATCATTGTTATTCCCAGGTGATCCTGCTGTGTCATCGGCACAGTTAATGGTAGATAACCTCTTGCTGGGGCAGTGCATGATCTATCAAAGAGCACCAGGAACCAGCAGCAGCTTTGGTTCAGAAATAACTTCAGCCCAATTTACTGCCAGTGTGAGAAATGTAAAGACTGAAAGGAATAAACATTGTGGACATTAAATGTATAGAATCTGTCTGAAGAGAAACTACATTGCTTTTTTCCATAAATGTTTAGTAAATATTAAAGAACTAATGCAACCTAATAATTTTTTCACACTATTGTATTGCTTTTAGAGTATCCATAAAAGTGGCATAGTTAAGGACAAATAAGACCCATCACGAGTTGTTGCCCTATATTCCGAGAATGGGGATAATTACTCAATTCATTGGACATTCCAAGCTTATCTCAGCATCCCAGTGGCCTAGTGACAATCACAGCAGGAGTGCCCTATAAACCTTTAGCAGGAGGAACCTCTCCACCTGCACTGCTGAGCTGAGAGAGACTCCCAAGCACCTGATGGAGCCACGTGCTGGTCCTGTGTCCCCAGGTGCTGGTCCCGTGTCCCCACATGCTGGTCCCACGTCCTGGCGTGGCCCCTGCTGTGCTTTTTCCCATCTCTACAGCCACTCCCTCGGGCACAGCCCCTGCCCTGCTCCCCTCTCCTCCCAGGGTCCCCAGGGATGTGTTGGCTTGTACCTGGGGAATGTTTCTCACCTGAGTGACTGAGCTGCTGCTGAGGCTGTGGACTGGTCACTGGACCAGGGGCTGGTCACTGTCACTGTCCCCTAGTCCCTGGCTCAGGACCAGCTCAGGTGCACCTTGGGTGGATTCAAAAAACTTGAGTGGAAAGTGGGGGGTTATGAGATCATTGGTTTGTAATTTGTATTTTTAGTGCTAATTCTCCATTGTAGTAATGCAGACACACCTACAAGGTGCTGTAAAGGTGGGGCTGGTGCAGAGCTGGGAATTCAAGGACAGGGATCTTTGCTCTTACCTTTGGAATGCCCTAAAAACCTCAGAGACAAACACAGCCAAGCGAGGCCCCTGAGCAGGGATCCTGCTCCCTGCTGTGCCCCTGTGCTCAGACCTGACTTTGCTGGGGGTTCAGGTGGGGGTGGCTGAAGGAACCGAGCAGGTTTGGTGTTCCCCATCCCAGGGAAGCAGGCTGGAGTCATACCCAAATGTGCTGAATAGGCTGTAGCTTTTCTGCTGTGTATTTCCTGTTGTTCCTTAATAACACTATTCCTGGAACTGGGGTGACTTCAGTTGTGATACCAAGCAACAAAACAACCTTAGCTCTCAAGGGCTGGGAGCCAGCGCCCTTTTGGGATCCTTTTCCCCTCGGAGTTCAGGAACCAGTTTTCATTTCCAGCTCCCTTTGCTTCTGCAGAGTGAGGGGACATCAGCAGCTTTCTGGAAAGAAAACTCGGTGCCTGAATAGCGAGGAGAAAAGGAAACAGTGACAATGGATCTGGTAAATATGGAGGAGGGTAGATTATGTCCAGTAAAGCCCCTGAACTCTGAGATGATTGAGCGAGTTTCTTTCACTCAAATGAGAAAAAGAAGCAACATTATCAAAATGATGGGGGGAGCCCCAGACCACTTCAGTGGAATTGATCAGTTGACAAACCTTGTGAAGATAAACCACTCTGCTGATTCTGCCTCTGCTCTCTGTGGAGTTCAGAGGGAGCTGACAGCGTCCTGCTCCTTTCCCAAAACCAGCTTGAGTGCAGGGCAGTGTAGCTGCAGCCATCCCTGCTGGCTCCAGCACATCCCAGCACTCAGAGCCCTCCTGGCTCTCCCAGTAGGAAGCTGAAGGCAGAGCAGGGGCATAAGGAACTGAAAATGAGAGAGCTCTGGGGTTGGAGAGCCCAACCTGGGACATGCCGGTTTGGGGCCAAAATGGTCTTGAGGTTTATGGAGAGTTTTGAAAACAAAGACTGTGGTCTCTGAAGTCTGGATGAGCCCTGGAACAGCAGGATGGCTCCTTGGGAAAGTGAGAAGGAGGTTCCATTGAGCCCAGCACTCTGGCTGGGGTTTCTGGCTGCTGCTGCTGTCCAGGCATGGGGCCAACCCTGCCTGACTCAGGAGCCCTCTGCCATCTCTGCTGCCTCGGGTTTCTCTGGGGCTCTGCTGCTTTGTGTGGGATAACCAGGCCTCGAGTACATGAATATATCTAGGGCTAAAGACATGATTTAATAAAAAGAGATGTTTCTGGGAAAACTGGTTTTGGTCTCATTTGTTTTTGTTGTTTTTGTCGTTCTCTGGCTGAGTTTATAAACCCAAAAAATGGCAGTTGGCAGATGCTGTGTGAGGGAAGTGATGTGTGATGAACCTGTGGTGCAGGTGAGGGACCTACAGGCACTGGGCACCTCTGTATGGCAGCAACTGAGCACACAGGAGCAAAGCTCCAGAGGGACAAGAGCCCAGGTGCAGCTAAAAGGGGAAGAAAGCAAAAAATCCTGATAATTTAAACAAGGGACCATCTGAGAGCCACAAATCCAGTCTTGAGGATAGGACAGAGATAGCTCAGTGATTCAGGTTCCAGCAGCCTCTGCAGCTTAGTGAGCATGGGGTGCTAAGGAATTTAGAGCGCATTAGGGATTGTGCCTCTTCCTGGGAGGAAGGCTTATCCCTGAGCACCCTTCCAGACACAGAAACAGAGCCCTGGAGAAATCAAGGGGAGGTTAAAGGCCTGGTAATCCCCCCGGGGAAAACAGACCGGCTCCAAAACACAAGGAGGGCAGAAGGCAATGAATGAATTCTGATAAACCACTTTCTCTCCCACGGGCCTGTTTGAGTGAATTGCCAAAGGGAGCAGCCCTGGCTTGAACTCCCAGCTGCAATTTTCCCCTTATCTCCAATGCTGACAATCACCTGCATGTTCATCTTCTGATAAATGTGGTAACTGCAGCCCCTCAGCACAAAGAGAAACAGGCTGGACAGCTCTGTCATTTGAGCAATTTTTCTTCAGCCCTGGGATGTCTCAACCTCCATTTCTCCTTCTTCCCTATTTGGGGATATTCTCCATATGCCACCACCACAGTGAGGTGGGACATGCCGTATTTACCTCAGCTGTATGACAGATGACAGAAATCACTTTTAATCCCTTACCACCCACTGCACAGCCTTGTGGCACCACTGGTGCCTGGAGGACCTTGTGCCCAGAAAGATGTTCTTCATCCTTTATCCTGGAACCATTCCATGTGTCCTGGTTTTAAATCACCACCATGAGATACAAAATCAAATTTGCTGGAGAAGCCCAGTTATAAGGGATTACTTTTCCCTATTGCTTCTCCCTTCGTGCTCTGTTACACGCAGTGGGTGATGGACACACACAGGAGTGGGAGCTGTGCAGACAACCTGAGTTTAATGTGAAATCACAGAGTCGTGCTGGGCCCTGCTCTCTCCCTGTCCCCTCGTCCCCTGGCTGTACTTGGGGCTGTTCCTCAGACCCAGCCTCTGTCGTGGTGTATCCGCCACGTCCCCTTGAGGCTCCGCAGCCACATCAGCCGTGCCCCGGCTCTGTCTGTGCCCCGCGGTGGCACTTTGCCATCAGAGCCTCCCAGCGCTGGCCTCTGTCATCATCGCACCTGGGTTTTGTAATCGAGCATTCCTTCTTGTGTCAAAATACGAGCGGGATTCCCGGGAGCCTCTTAGTACCAGCACCGGGCACTCGGCCGGGGCTGCCCGCGGGTGCCAGCACAGCGGAGCAGGGGATCAGCTCCAGGGCACGGCTCGCCGGCCAAGTCACACTGCCCAGCCCTTGACACTTTCACTGACTCAGCCGAGGCTTGGAGCACTTGACAGAAACGATAGAAGGCTCTCAAATCCTGACTGGCAGGGGAGGGGATGAATAATGGCTGGATTTATTGTTTTGTTCTAAAGGCAGGCGGGCATGCAGTGAAACTCACAGATGTCAGGTTCAATGCCCACAAAGGGAGGTGTTTTCTTTGCGCCAGGTGCAGCAAAACTGTGTGGGATTCATTATTTCAGGTTTTACGGGCTTTACACAGGCTCAAAAGCCAACCAGACAAGACCACGAAAGAGAAATCCATTGAGATCTCCGAGTACAAAGGCACATTGTTGGCTCTGGACGTGCCTGAGCCATGAGTCACCAGAGGCGGGGAAATGTCTCTACCCGCTTGCCCCGCTCTTTATCCTCAGCCCCGGGCAGCAGCCGTGGCCCGGCGAGGGCTGGAGGCAGATGGTGCGTGATGGACCTGAGCTGGAGGGGGTACGGCAGGCCATGCGTGAGCCTCGCATCACCCCGGAGTTATTTAAGGTGAAAGGCACGGAGCTGCCTCCTCCCCAGAGCGCCGCTTTGCAGCAGCCCAGCTCCGCAGGGCACGCAGCCCACTTGGGCGCCCGACACGGGCAATAAAAGCTGTTTCCAGCGGTATAATTTCCAGGTCTCGTTTGAAGAGGGTGTGCAATTGCTCTGTTGTGGCTCGGGAGTGCAAAGGTAGGAGCCTTATCAGCAGGATACGGAGCTGCTCCCCGTAAACACACCTGCGCTTTCGGCACCAGCGGGGGCAGCCGCCCGTGCCGGGCGCGGCTCCGGGACCTCCCCCAGTCCTGCCCAAAGGTTGTTTGATGTCACAGCGTGCCGTGTGCCCCGGCTCTCCCAGGCGAGGATTTGAGAGGTGTGGAAAGCGCTGCGCTGCCGAGCCACCGTTTCCTGATTGCACACACTTCCCAATGACACCTGCGGGCGGCTGATAAGAGGCGCTGACTGGAAATAACGCCGCGGAGGCACTTTTGTGTCCAACGAGCGGCTGTCAATGAATCACTAAATCACTGAAACACTGAATAGCTGGGGTTGGAAGGGACCTCTGGAGATCGTCCAGTCCAGCTCTCTGCCAAGACACGGTCACCCGGAGCAGGTGACACAGGGACGCGTCCAGGTGGGTTTGGGATGTCTCCAGAAAGGGAGACTCCACGACTCTCTGGGCAGCAAAGAAGAGGAAAATGGGAAAAATATTCTCCCGCTCTGCTGTCATGTGCCATGGAAAACTCCACTTGTGTCCATCAGAACTCTCCTTAAAACACTCCTCTGACAGTCCGAGTACCACAGACACTGCTCCAGAGTCCGGGGCTGGTTCCCTGCTCCTGCCCAGGCACCTGCTCCGCCTGCGACGGCGGCCGACATCCCCAGGGTGACCCCGCAAGGCAATTTTCGATCCTGTCCTCGGCTGGCACCAGACGGACCAGTCCGGGATGGGGGAATGGGCAAATATGGGTGTTATGTGTGTTTTGGGATTCTCTGTCGGTCACCATGGCTCGTGTCCCGGGCCGGGGGTCTCCTGTGTGTGAGGGGAGGGCGTTCCCAGCCCGGGGATGCGGCACCACCCCAGGTCACAGCACCGTGCCCCGGACTGTCCGGCAGCCCCGGGGCCCTTCCCCGGGCAGCGGGGGCGGAGCGCTGACCCCGGCCGGGAGCGGAGCGGCCCTGGCGCACCCCCGGCCCCGCCCCGGCCCCGCGGGGTCGGGCCTGCCCTGCCCGGCCCGGGGGCGGGGCCGCGGGGCCGCCCCGGTGCGGCGGGGCCCGGCCCGCAGAGCCCCAGCGCCGCCGCCATGAGCAGCGCGGAGCCGCCGCTCGGCGCCGGGCCGCGGGCAGCGCCCGCCTGGCAGCGGGAGATCCTGGAGCGCAAGCGGGCCAAGCTGGCCGGGGCGGGCGGCGAGCCCGAGTCCCCGGCCGGGGAGCGGCTGGTGGTGGCGGAGAGCCTGGGCCCGCTCCGCGAGAACCCCTTCATGCGGCTGGAGAGCGAGCGGCGCCGGCTGCGGCAGGGGCGGCCCGGGCCCGGCGGCGCGCCGCGGCCCCTGCAGCAGCTGCTGGACCTGTACAGCGCCGTGCCCGGCATCCGCACCATCCGCGCCGACAACATCCTCATCATCGAGTCCCGCACCGACCCCGCCGCCTGCTTCGCCGCGGGGGACGCGCCGCCCGCCCGCCGCCGGGATCCGGCCGGCACCGACCCGCTGCGGGAACTGCTGGCCCGGCGCGGCGCCGCGCTCGCCGAGATCCGCGCCGACCAGGTCGTCATCTACGAGACGGCCGAGCCGCCGGAGCCGCCCGAGGCGGCCGAGCCGGGCACCGTCAGCCGCCTCCTGGAGAAGTTCGGGCAGCGGCCGCGGGGCCGCCGTCGCCGCGTTGGGGACGCGCTGACCGGGACCGGCGGGGTCGCGGCTCCGCCGCAGGTGGGACCGGGCGCTTCCCGGGCCGCGCCGCCCGCTCCGCCCGCGGGGCCCGGCGCTCCCCCGCCCCTCCAGAAGGGACCCGGCTTCCCCCGGCCAAAGCCGGGACCGGCATCTCCGCCGGCGGTCCCGACCACTCCTCCGCCGCTGCCGGCTCCCCCCCGAGCTGCCACCCCCCCAGCGGTGCCGGTGGTCCCCCAGCCCACGGTCCTGCAGCCAGCTCCCCCCCGGGCAGTCACCCCTCCGCCCGCGGCCCCTCCACGGGCTGCCACTCCCCCGCCCACGGTTTCCCCTCGGGCTGTCACACCCCAGCCAGCGGCACCTCCCCGGGCTGTCACCCCCCGGCCCGCATCCCCTCCCCGGGCTGTCACTCCCCAGCCCGCACCACCTCCTCGGGCTGTCACCCCCCGGCCCGCATCCCCTCCCCGGGCTGTCACCCCACAGCCCGTGCCCCCCCAGCCCACCCCGGCTCCCCCCCAGGCTGCAGCCCCCCAGGCGGTCCCAGCTGCCCCCAAGGCTGCGGCCCCTCAGGCCAACTGCTTTCTCCACAAGATCAGCTCCAACTCCTTCACGGTCACACCCCGGGGGCAGCTCCCCGGCGCCCGCGTCCCCGAGCCCGGTGCTGTCCCCGCCGGCCGCCCCGCAACGCCCAAGGGGCCACCAGTGCCATCCACCAGCCCTTCCCATGCCAGAGCCAACGCCAGGAGGCCAAAGCCGGAGGAGGCCGAAGTGGCCGTGTCGCCCCTGCCCAGTGCCAGTCCGGCCCCCAGTGCCACCGGCGCCGTTCGGCCGCTCTCCGCCTCAGCCCCCCGGGCCGGGGACTCCTTCGAAATCCTCCCGGCCCCCAAGCCCGACTTGGCGGCCATCCCAGCCCACGACCTGCAGGCACAGGCTCTGGCCAAGCTGCGCCTCAATTCGCGCAATTCTTTCGTGTTCGTGCCCCGCCGGGAGGGCAGCCCGGCTCGGCCGCCGGCCCAGATTGCCAGGCCAGGGCCACCGCCACCGCCCTCGGAGGAGAAGGCACCCAAGGAGCCCCCGAGGGCTTCCGCCCCGGAGCAGGAAGAGCCCATCACTTCCCCAGCGGCGCCTCTGGATCCCTCGGTACCTGTGACTTACATCGATGACATTGTGGAGCCGGACGGCGGGGAGCCGCTTCCCAGGGCTGGCCCGGCTGCGAGGACGGGGAGCTTGGCGGATCAGCCTGGAGGAGCTGGCCCTGACCTGGAGATGGAGTTTTCCTCCGTGCCCCTCTACAGGCCACACTCTGCCCCCCAACAGAGGGGAGGCAGCACCTTCACTGTTGTGCCCAAAAGGAAGCCCGTGGCTCCAGGGCTGCAGGCTGATGCCAGCGGAAGGCCACAGCGGGAGGAAGAGGAGGAGGAGGAGGAGAGCAAAGGAAGAGGCAAATCCGTGGAGAACGCTGATGGGCCCCAAGTGGGGATATCCCATAAAAAGCGCTACCCCACGGTGAACGAGATTGAAGTGATCGGGGGGTACCTGTCCCTGGAGAGGTCCTGCATGAGCAAGACGGGCTCACGCCGCAAGAAGGTAAGCGGCTGTGCTCAGCAGCCAGGCTGCACCTGGCCCGCTGCTGCTTTGGGTTTGGCTTCTCATGAGGCACCCCTGGGAACACGGGCAGTGCCAGAGGCTGCCCTCAGAGCTGGCTGAAGAAGGGGTAAAATGGACTCAGAAGTGAAGCCTTGGGGCTGGTGGAAAACAGGAGAGGGAAGGTGGAACTCCACCACATTCATGCGAAGGATATTTCAGAATGGTGAGGAAGGAACCAGGGATTAATATTTCTCATGGTATCCAATATTAGGATAGTTTGCAACTCTTTGCAAGCCCAGTGTCTTGTTTGCTTTTTACCGTCTCCTGGAACTTTAAAAGGAGCCTGAGGACCACAGCTGGGAGATGGGACTTGTCATATTAAAGAGAATTTGTCCTCGGGGAGGGGGCACTGGGTGTTGTCCAGCAAAGCAGCTGAGGGTGGGATATGCCCTGTGATAACTGCAGGGCCTCTCCCACCCCATTCTTTCTTGGAGATACGATAATGGAAAGTAAAGTATTTCAGGAATTTAGGAAATCAGGGGGAGGTTCGTGGATTGAACAGCTGTGGGCTTGCCCTCCCTCTGCTCGCTGTGTCTGAGGGGTCGGACATGTTGAGCTGCCCGTGGTCACTTGGCATTGGCATCTTCCCCGCATTAGTGATCTATTGATAGAGGCTCAAGAATTAGGTCTCGATTAGGCAGAAAGAGATCAGCAAGAATTTAACTCCCATTGATAGGATTACACCACCTGCTCGTTCTGAATGTGCAGTTACAGCTCTGAAGATCCAAGAGATGCTGATTGCTCCAAATGCCTTTGGAGTGAGCGAATGCCAGATTTTCTCACGCCTTGGGGAGTAGTGTAGATCCTTGTGAGCCCTAAATTGAGAATTAATCTTTGTAGGCCTTGGTGAAATGCATCTGGACATGATAAGGGGAGTGGGGGACAGTTGTTTGGCTCTGACACCTTTTTCCATAGTGGGAATTGTTGGACATTTCCGTTACCCAAATGAAGGTAGATAACTGAGGGACTGAATGCACATGGGTGCCTGAGGCACTGAGCATTATCATTTGAGGAAATCTTTGAGCAGGATGCATCTCATTTGAAGGGAGGCAGGGAGTGCTGCTTCCCTGGCTTAATGCTGTCAAATTCCTCCCTCAGCACACCAAGCCTGTGGTAATTTGATGGTGACTAATGCAGGGAGCAAGTCTGGAGCATCTTGAGACCCAGAACAAGCAAATGAGCAGGAGTGTTGATTCTTGCTCAGTGCTTCTGAAGTTTTCCTTGTTTTTCTACAGGGAAATGCTTGGTCAGACTGGAATTGTTCTGCTGCTTAAACACCTGCTGGCTTGCACTTATTGCAGCTGTTTTGACTCTGTTCAGGTTCAATTTGGGGTCTTAGTTGGATTAAAACCAAATCAGGTGTGTGGTGTAAATGCTGAAAATACAGCATGTTATACAGTTGTGAGTGCTCTTAGGATGGGGCAGAGGACACACAGGGATCTTGTCCTCTTATGGGATCATCATATTTGGGCAAGCCCTACTTCTGATGGAGCTGAGTTTTCTGATCAGGGGATGCTATTGGGGCACAAAGAACAAAGCCTCAAGTAAAACAAATTAAATGGTGCACAGTGGAAGGTGTCCTTAATAGTACAAAAAAGAGGGAGATGAGCACAAGTCCAGTGCAGTGACTGAATTGGTTTTTGGTTGGTCAAACCCAGAGAAGTCGTGGCATGTCCTGCCTTGGAGCTGTCTGAAACTGGCCAGGGGAAAGCTTTGAGCGACTGGCAGGTCTGTCCTGCTTAAGGCAGGAGTTTGGGCAAGGACCTCCAGAGGACTTTTCCCAGCCTAAAATTTTGTGTGATAGCGGTTAACTACCGTTTTGTGTGTCAGTGGTGGATTTGTGTGACATTGGGCAGGTCATGGAACTTCTCTGCCCCTGTTCTTATCAGCTTTAGAGCATTGACTGCCCTGCTGTGCAGCTGAGGTGCCAAATACTGCCAGGTGCACACACAGCTGCTCCATAAGAGCTGTATGTGGGGTTGTCCTGCAGGAGAACTTGGGTAAACATTTGGTTTTTGAGAGGAGATTAAAAGGCAAAGGAGGAACTGCCTGTTATATTTGTAGAACTCAGGAAGCTGAAACAAATAGGGACCCTTTTAAAGTAAGATGAAGCTGAAGGAAAGTAGTCAAGTTAAAAGTTTCTGGGTGAAGTTAAATGTGGTATGGGAGAAACACCCATTTTTCTTTCAGTTCCCTTCCTGCTCAAAGTCAAGCACAGAAAATGACTTTGTAGCCAGGATCTAGAAGATGCTGATGGTGGAAAAATGGAAAGATTTCTGTTTACTCTTGACCTAGAGGATGTTTGTGGCTTTTACTCTGGGTAATAAGGCTGAGTGTTGATGCCTGAAAAGGAAGGAGCTCATATAAAGATGCATTCCTTGGTTTCTTCCCAAGAGATCACTCTGTGTCTCCAAGGCAACCAGCCAAAAACAAGAGTTCTGTTTTGTAGCTGTGTCGGGGTTTTCAGAAACTTGATTTTGGCCTGAATTGGGCAGAAACAGACTGTTCTTGTGAGCTGGGAGCTACAGTTGTTTGTTAAAACCAATCCCCTTTCTCTTTTGGGGTGTCAAAACCTGATGCTGATTTTAGTGAGCAGCTTCCTGTGTCTTTTGGGGTGAACAAACCCTTCTTGTGTTAAGCATCTTCCTTTCCAAACCTTGCTTTTGAAAAGTCTTTAATTATGTTCCATACTCAAGAAAGTAGCATTTAGTGAAACTTCAAGAACTTGGAAAAGTTTAACTGTTTGCTGATGCCCAGCAGGAATCTGGGAGATCAACAGCAGGTCAGCACACCTGGAAATGCTGTGGATCAACGGGTGTCTGTGCAGTCAGGGGTAATATTTGGAAGGAAGGTCCTGCCAGTTGGACCCCGCTGTTCTCTGAGATGCAAATGCTGTTTTTTTTCAAATGTAGAAATTCAGCCTCCCTTTTCCATCCCCATGTCTGGCCACTGATTGCCTGACTGTGGTAGAGGAGCCAGCAAAATGGAGCTGACATGGTCCCTGTTCTCTGATCCACATCCTCCGTGGCTTTTTGGGAGGGTGGCTGGGACAGGCTGGCAGTGGGTTCCAGCACTGCTTTGCACAGAAGGAGCTCCAGCCCCTGCTCCTGGCTGCTGACAGTGGCTCTAGGACTTGACACTTGGCTGTGGCCTGAGGGATGCTGCTGCTTCAAGGTCTTTCAGGATAAACAGCTTTATTGCTCCTTCCAGACCTTCAGATATGTGAAGCAGCTGTTACTTTGGGGGTTGGAGATGGAGATTGGTGAGGGAGAGGAAGATGATGTACTGGAAATAAAAATCTGTTCCCAGCTCTGTTGTGGAGCTGCTGTGGGGGGACAGGGGCTGTGAAGGTCAGAGTGGGGCTGTGTGTGATGGGATACATCAGGGTCTGCAGGTGGAGGGCAGAGTGCCAGCCCTGCTCACCCTGGAGCTGGAGCTCCTGTGCTCCTGGAGGGGTTCAGGTGCCCTTCAAGTCTGTTCATCTGCTCCAGGGCTGTTTTGAGACCTCTCCAGGCAGTACCAACAGCCGTTCAGATAAAGCAGTGGGGGTGGGACTCAGACTGAGAAGTGTGTTTGCAGCTCCAAAGGGATGTGCCAGGAGCTGCTGGGCAGCTGCTGGAGGAGCTGGCCGAGCTCTCAGAGAGGACAGGATACATGTGCAGGGGTGGAAGGAGACCTACTGACCTTTATTCTAAACTGGGAGTGGGGCAGAGGATGCAGCACACTGTTGTTGACCTCTGCTCAGGGCTCCTCTTTGTTATTGCAGAGAAGTAAAGGCATTTCAGCAGTGCCAGGAGGAAGGGAAGGCTTTGCTGCAGGATGTGGGTCTTTGAGATCACAGAGGATAAAAGCTTGCTCATCTGAGCTGACAAGAGTCAGTGATGGTTTGCTAGAATTACATCCAATAAAGTTGTTGGCAAGATAGAAATCTGGGTTTCTGCAGAACATGTGGTTGGCATGTTGGAGTGAGAGCTGGGGAAGGACAGAGCACAGCAGAGCCAGCTGGGCTCCCCGAGAGCAGTCACTGGCTTTGGGCTTCAGGCTCTCCTCTTGTTGGAGGCTGGACTCTGCCCTGACCCTGCTCCTTCAGTGTGTCACTCCTGCAGTGCATCCCGAGTGTTTTCCTCTCCAGGATCCAGTACCTCTGGAGATCCTGCAGGGAAGGTGAATGAGTTCTGGCCAGGCCACCCAAAGTCTTGTGAATAACAGGACCTGAGAGCCAACAGACACCAGGTTGTTGATGGATTTAATGTTTTGTGGTTGTCACAGCTGGCAGTTTGCCGTGTGCTGGCAGGCGAGTCACAGCCCAGTGTGAGCAGGGATTACAGGAACTAGGCTGGTGGGATCCAAACAGTTGGAGTCTAAAGCTAAATTGCCTTTAAAGATGTTCAGCCTGAACTTCAAAAAGTTCCAGCTTACATAAAGTTTAGCATGGTCCATGTCCTAATCTTTTGAGCTGCGTAATGCCTGAATGTGGCTTCCAAATTCCCACTTAAAAGTTTATCAAAAATTATTTTAAATACCCTCAGTTTTGATCATTGGCAGCAGCTTTGTTGGTCTAACCTGCTGAACTCCTTGTTCTGTAGTTTTCCATCTGTTTAATTCTGCTGGAGATGGTCTCCTTTGAGAACCAGGTGTAGGCTTGGGATGCTGGTAGGGATCAACATTTCCAGCTGTTGCCCGGGCCTGTTTGGAGCAAGTCTGCACAGTGTGGAGTCTAAATACTGATGGCTGCCTGAAGTGTTTTTTTGCACAAGTAAATTAACCAAAACACAAGTAAACTAATCTGGTGGTAGAAGAAGAAACCTCTGCAAAAATCCCTTTGATTATGTCATTTCTGTGTTTTGGAGGGGTCAGGGCAGAGATTTGTGTTCTTTAGCTCTTGGAGAACTGCGAGTTCCTGTTCTGTTTTCTGTCTCTGGCTGTGCTCTGCTGGGGCA